GCCCAAAAGGCATGACGAGGTACTCAAAATGCCCGTACTGCGTACGGAATGCTGTCTTCCACTCGTCGCCGTCTTTGATCCTGATGAGGTTGTAACCTTCCTTCAGGTCAATCTTCGAGAAGATAACCGCGCCTGCCACTCGGTCTCGCAGCTCGTCCATAAGCGGTAGAGGATACCTGTTCTTGATGGACACACGGTTAAGTCCACGGTAGTCAACGCAACATCAGCAAACCCCCAACCTCCGCCAGACACTCTGGACGCTCGAGGCGCCCAGGGCGCTCGGAAGACAAACTGCCTCTCCAGAGAAGCAGCAGAGCGTTCCTGGCGCTCCCTGGCACATAGCATTCCGCCCTGGCGCGCACTAGGCTGCTCGCGCGCCCTGGCGCACTAGCGCTCCCAACGCGCCCCGATAGTGATACGCTTACCCCGACGGAATGCTCTCTCGCCTGACGCTATCCCGACGGAATGTCCTCTCGCCTGACGCTATCCCGACTGAACGCTCTCTCGCCTGACGCTCTCTCGCCTGATGCTCTCTCGACGGAATGTTCTCTCGCCTGAGACTACTATCTATCTCCTGGACGCTCCTGGAGCTCTCGCGACGCCTCAGGAAGCGTTTTGTCCACCCCTGAACCTCTCTGAGGACTCCTGGGCATATCGCTAATGCTTCTGGAGCACTCCCGACTGCTCCAGCGGCCCCCGACGCACCGCATTTCACCTTTCAGCGCCCTGTTTTTACCAGGCATACTACTCTTTGCTTTAGTAGGCACTGCTTTGCAGAGCATCCAAAACCATGATTCTATTACTAAATACTAACACTACAAGCGTCTTGAAATCGCCAATCGAATATAATACAGGTATATTGGTATCTCTCCAAAGCACTCGCCGCTGCTCTCCAAAGCACTCGCCGCTGCTCTCCAAAGCACTCGCCATTGCGCTCCAAAGCACTCGCCGGTGCCCTACAGATCCTCTTCCTCCTCCCCTCCCTCGCGATCCTCATCTTCATCCTCCTCGCCTTCCTCTTCCGCTTCAATGCCCCGAAGTTGAGCCTGAACCACCTCTTCCTGGCCGCCACCGTTGTCGGAGATATCCCCTGGAGCACTCGGGGGTGCTCTCCGAGCATTCTGGAATGCCGCAAGATCCGCCGCTAACGCTTCGTCGTCCTCGCTAAATCCATCTTCCGGTATCACCTCAATAGTGATACCCTTCTTCTCTCGTATCTATCAAGGTTAGCCTCCATATGCAGAAGAGTGCTCCGCCATTGTAGCACCCATCTATAGCATACCTTCTCCCGGAGGTTATCCTTGATCACCTCCAACGTTGCCTCCTGATTCTGCCTACTCCTCCCCTTCCATGTGTTGCTCATCCTGTTGAACGTTTCTACTCGTGGGCAATGTCAGCGCGCGAATCCACTATAGCTCTGGGAGCATCTGTTACTGCTCTCAAAGCACTCGCTATAGCTGTAAGGGGATCAGGGATGCTTACTGACAACACTCTCATTCTGTGACTGGAAATGGTCAGGCTGCACGTATGTTCCCGTTGACCATGCCCGAATGCCATGCCAAATTGCAGTGGATATGAAGCAAATAAATGTAGGGGTAATCCGCTCTAGGAACTCGGGGTCTTTTACCCCTCGCATCCTGACCCCATCAAAGTATTTATAGTACAATATGTCGATAATCTCTGGCGCAAGAAGCCGTAGACGGTAGGTCTAGTATCTGTTAGCAGCGTTCGCGAGTGCTCTCCAAGCATTCCGGGTGTCCGGGTGCTCTCCGACCATTGACACCCGAGTGCTCTCTGGTCATTGACACCCGAGTGCTCTCTTAGCACCCCCGGGTGCTCTCTAGGGATTGATCATACCTCGTAATGCTGCGCAGGGCTCAAGAAGCGATCATTCTTTAAAAGATACTCTACTTGAGCAGCCCTCGCCTCAGGACTCGAGAGCTTTCCAAGCCCATAGATGGTCGAATCTGCCAGGCGCCCTTTAACCTCGTGCATCAAGTGCGAACGGACTCGGGAGTGTAGACTTCTCACCTATCGTTGTCAATTACGCTTCCAGAGCACTCGTCAACGTTTCAAGGGCATTCACCTGTTTGATAACGACCTCGTCCAGATCTACCGCACATCCCACCCTGCGACTGGCAGCTGCCCACATGTTCACTACCAGTACCGAAAGCCTCGCTGCAGGTGGAAAAGGCTCATGTAGAAGAGTGTGGTCCCCGATTAGCGTGCTGCACTCCTTCTCAATCCTCTGAGCCTGCATTGAGAGAACGTTTGCACTCCTCGAGCTAGGTAACAAGGATCTCTGAGATAGGTTGCTCGCATGAATGTTAACAGTGCTCTCAAAGCGGTCGTCAGTGCTATCGGGAATACTACTAACCTCGCTTTCTGCTATAGGAGCATTTCCTTCCCTAATAGACGACGAAAGCTGTGCAATATCGTGGACTCTTGGTTGCGCTTCTGGTAAATATACCTGAGGGCTTGAGGGAATCCGGGGACTGCTCATAGAGCTCTCGCCAACGCCCTCAAAAGGCGGGGAGGAACGATAGGGGCGGTAAGTAGGTGAGGACTCCCCGTATCGAGAGCGCAATGAGGAAAGATCGATATGGCGCGTCGAAGAGCTGTAATCATGATAATAAACAGGTTCAGAAGGCCTAGACTGCGTGGGTATTGGCGGTGCTCTCTTTGATGCCGGGAGTGCTCTCTGAGATGCATTCTGGCTGGGTGCCGAAGTGGGAGCTGCTCTCCGTACTACCTTTGCACCCGGACGTGCTCCCCTCTGAATCGTTAGCGTTTTGTCCTTAACTGTTACGGCATGCCAAGCATTTACGGGAGTGATAGAAAAGGCCAGTAGATACCCCAATACCCTCTGTATGCTAATGTCAACTCTGGAACCGCACCCGTGGGGTGTGGTGCGACCAATATATGACCAAAAACACGGAGTCATAAAAAACACGTTTTCGACCCCAATAATAACCCCCGGAGTGTCAAACCGCCGGAGGGGAGTGCTTTGGTACCGGTGGATATATGAGGGACAGCTGGAAGCAATCGGATCGAAGATCGGATCACTCGGAGCGAATCGGCGCAAGCTATCAGCCGACCGAGTACCTATCGGCGGTACCTATGGGCATGAGAGGACTCTGCTATGTGGGAAAGCGATGTGGGAAGAGGCCTGAGTAGGTAGCCTTGCCGTCCAAGACCTACGAGTAGCCGACACTGACGATTATCCACCAGACGGCCGATGGAGAGGAAACATCGACAGGGAAATATGCATTAGAGTGGGTAAATAGGTTGAGGGGTTTCAGCGGGTTTAGGAGTTTGGGTTACGGACTTAGAAGTTAAATGTTCTTGGTTGTTTTTCAGGGTCTCGGGTGGGCCCCGAGTGTATTCTGTATTATTAGTAGATTGGGTCCTCGAGACATAAGCGAGGGATATAAATACTGTGTCATTCACTGAGTAGCCAAACCATCATCGGCGAAATCAGAGTCTTAACAATATAAATCGTTGATATGCGAGTTACAACTCTATCTTGACTATATTATTCTTTATACTTTACTCTATCGTGACTTCGCACTCTACCTGAACTATTACGTCGAAGACGGTCGAATACCAAACGCTAACTCTAGTGAATCTTTGTTGATAACGTAGCTCGCGGGGCCCGTATCGGATCAAGGAGATTCATACTCGACATTGACTGAAGAGACCTTGGAGACTTCTACCTTTGTAGCTGTTAGCCGAACTCTGAGCTCTGCGTAGTGTACTCTTGTGGTCTGGTACGCATCCTTCACATTAACATTAATGGGTGGGATGGAGTCGAACCTGTACCACATCCACCGACACGTCGGAGGAAGCAATAACCTCCGCTACCGCTCCGGTTGGTCTCCTCCGAGCATTGCCCAGTGCTCTGGCAGTAGTCGGCTGCACTGTACGAGGCCTCTTCCCCGTACTCTGGGATCTCTGCTGAGTGGAGGCTTGAGGTTCTTCCGACTCCTCCGGGTCATCCAGATTCTCCTCAGAGCTCTCCTCGGCGTTCTCTGGGGAGTCATCATACTCCGAGTGGCTGGTATCGGCGGTTTCCTCCACCTCTGGCACATCCTCCTGATGCTCCTGCACTTCAACGCTGTCAGTATTGCCATCGGGGAGATGGAATTCTACCCTTCTAGGGCTGCTTCTTCCAGTGGATGTGTCGGTAGAACACAGAAGCCCTTTACGTGCTATTGGGGTGGTTGTCGACTGACTACTCCGAGTGCAGGCTGGCAGTGGAGTCAATGGTCGGCAAGGTATCTCAGACTCGTCAGTCAGTAAATCTTCATGTTCTTCAGGTCGTCTTGGGAGTCGTGGGCGCTTTGGGGCAAGAGGTGCTGAACCGGACGAGCGCTTGGTGGGAGCCATTCTGATGGCTAGCAGGAATATCCTCAGTGCTCTAGGAGCACTCGCGGTATCTTTGATTAGAAATCAATTCTTGGCGAGAAAATTTGCGCCGCTAATCAAGAAGAATTTGCACGGCTAATCCTCCTACGGCAGGGATCCGCTCAACCGCATCATTTGTAATCACTCGTTTTACTGCACTTTGCACTTTCTGAAGCAATACCGAGTGCTCTGAGAGCAATCTAGGAGTTTGACTCGACTCTGAAATAAAAGCAATGCAATTACGACAAGGAATAATCTAATCTAATCTAATCTCATCTAATCTCATCTAATACGACAAAACACATCCATTGATATATGCTCGGAAGATAAAGGAAATCCAAAACATCAAATCGTACAGCACCTCCATCTCAGTAGCACTCGCGAGTGCTCAGAGAGCACTCCATACTGCTATTCAAAAACCCATCAATTCATATATGCTCGCAAGACAAAGGAAATCCAAAACATAAAATCGTACCGCACCTCCTCCATCTCAGTAGCAGTCGCGAGTGCTCAGAGAGCAATCTGTACAGCTTTTCAAAGGTTAGTAGTGAGAAATCCGCAGGAAGAGTGGTGAGAGACTATACCAAAGGAGACTAATGATGCCCACCACCATCACCACCACCACCGCCTCCACCGCCTCCAGCTGGCCCACCACCTCCACCACCACCACCACCACCGCCTCCAGAAGGTCCACCACCACCACCACCACCACCACCGCCCGGAGGTCCGCCCGGAGGAGGAGGAGGAGTAGGAGGAGGAGGAGGAGGAGGAGGAGGTCCGCCCGGAGGAGGATTACCACCACCACCACCACCACCACCGCCGCCCGGAGGAGGATTACCACCACCACCACCACCACCACCACCACCACCACCGCCCGGAGGAGGATTGCCACCACCACCACCACCACCACCACCGCCTCCAGCAGCAGCCCCGAGTGCGTCAGCAGCTCTCTTGGCTGCTATCCCGGCAGGCGTCCAGATTACTCCCTGTGCAAAGTTTGCGTCAGCAACCCCTACACCCAGAGGATACTTCCTCAGGTATTTGGGGTCTAAGTCGTCGATAGCATCCTGCTGTCTATCGCGACGTCTAACAAGAGTCTGGATTAGCCTTTGATTACTGGCATCAGTTCTGGGCAAATATACCCTCAGTCCTTTAGCATTTATGCGGTGATTTCCCTCCTCGTAATCAGAGTCCTCTGCTGGAATATCGATCGTGGTGTAATCGTCTTCCTCGATATGAGGGAATGCTCGTGTCAGCGGCGGTGTTTCAGCACCACCCAAATTAGCACCCGCGCCCGCTCTGTGGAGTACCGCCAGTATCCTCCGAGGCCTGCCAACGCTATTCTTCAACCAACCCTCGACCTCTTCCGAATCAGTGATCTGCACCTCCATCAGCCGAACAGGAGGATTGGATGCCAGTGGAACGTTATCGAGTGCTCCCCAGATACTCCTGATTGCTCTGCCGGGTGGGGTGTGCTTCAGGATCAAATTGCAGAGCTCTGGAAACGTTATCTTGGTCAGAACTCCAATGAACGAATTCTGATTTCGTCGATGGTTCCAGTCATAGATAGGGGGCGGGGCAACCCTGGAGAATGCTCCTAGAGCATCCGGGTCTACCACCGTAACCATTATGGAAGGTCTATTGAGATCTGCAGACACTGGGTCTCGTTTACGCTTCTTAGAGCGTTGGGCGGGCAGACCACCATCCTCATCATCATCGCTATCATCAGCAACTTCTTTATACTCGCGATTTCCCTGCCCCCTCGATAGCTTTTCCTTCTGCCCAACATCAGCGATGAGCCACTTCAAAGCGTCCGCGAGTGCTCTGCGGGTTGCAGAATCGGCTCCGTTCCACATAGGCAGGAAACCACTGAGAGGGCGTATGTTCAACACATGGAGGCATAGAGCATTGAACGCTGCTGCTCCGGAAACGGTTTTGTTGACCCAACCGGTGTTCTGCATCTCCGCTTTGAGGCTGTTGCGGATGTTAGTGTACAATTTAGGGAGGTTGATCAAACCTAAAGCCATCTTTGCTTTGTTTGCCTCAGTCATTCTGCCGGTGTATCGGGCTTGAGAGATTGGGGATGATGCTTCTGGAGCACTGGCGTATGCTACCTGAGCACGTGGGGGAGTTTCTGGGGCATGAGGGGGAGTTTCTGGGGCACGATCTCTGCGGCTTTGCCTCTGCTCTGCCGGTGGAGGGGAACTAGGTATTGGTAGCCGACGGCGACGTCGGGATTGAGAGCTCTGTGAAGCACTGGCGACTGCTTCTGGAGCAGGGGCACGAACTGGGAGTACGGTTCTACGGACAGGGGCCGACGGTTGTGGCGGCGAGCTGCCCAATTCTTGGGAAGTGCTGGAGACTCATTGAAGTGCTCGTCCTCTTTGGGGTTCTGGGCCTGCTGCTGGGCCTGCTGCTGTGCCTGCTGCGGAACCTTCACTGTCGGACTCGGCTTCAGATTGCACTGATTCCCACTCTTTTGGGAAGAGTCTCGAGTGCCGAGTGGGCGGTGACGAGTGCTGAGGGGGCGGTGACGAGTGCTGTCGGGAGCTTGAAACCACTCGGGGATGCTTCCGGGAAGACGACGACTGCGGCGGGGGTGTCTCTTCTATCTCTTCTGGGATAGGCTGGAGGCTTTTCTGCTCTTTGCGAGACGAGGAAGGGGAGGACTTCTCGTTCTTCTTCTGCTCCTTCTTCTTCTCCTTCTTCTCCTTCTTCTTCTCCTTCTTCTTCTCCTTCCTTTCCTTCCTTCGGCGTTTTTTGCTATCTGATTCGTCGGTGTCTGGATCGCTATCTCGCTTCTTCTGTGAGCGCTCTGGAGTGCCCTGAGGGGAGGATGAAGGCTATAGTGAATATGTGATGAGTATGGTTCTGAAAGCAATAGGATTAAGGAGGATATACCATCTTATATATGATCGCTAGGTGTGCAGCTTGAAAGCTTGAACTTGAAACGAAACTTGAAACTTCAAGTTGAAGCCTAAACTTGAAACGTGAGCTGAATGCGCTTTCAAGAGGTATCTTGAAAGCTTAGATAGCAGGGAGGGGCTTGAAGTGATAGGTAGCGCTGGAAGATGGTTAGGAAGCTCTCACGATCTGGAAGGAGGAGAAGGGTGCTCTTATACCGAATACAATCAGCTATTCCAGGGCTCATCATGCTTCCGAGAGCACCCCCTTGTGCTATACGAGCATCCTCGGGTGCTGTACGAGCATCCTCGGGTGCTGTACGAGCATCCTCGGGTGCTGTACGAGCACCCCCGGGCGCTCCCACCAGTGCCGCATATGGTGCTCCAAGCCGTGCTGAATGTTTGCTCCAATACATGATGTAGATCAATGCTCTAGGCGCACTCGAAGATTCTACTCTGGAGGTTTGATTCAATTGAATGACGTAGATGAATGCTCTAGGCGTACTCGGGAATGCTCTGACGGTAGTACCAACAGTGGTGTCGATTGGATTCCTATGTTGGGTTGGTGTTTGTGTTCTTGTTGGTGTCGGGGCTCTGTGCGCTATGAAGCTGAGTCGGAGAGTGTGTATCCTCTGAGCGCATATCCGATATTAGTATCGAATTTGGCGGTGAGAATGGTCTCTCCATGATCTGAATAGCATCCGCGAGTGCTCAGAGAGAGAGAGCGAATGCTGAGAGGGTAGAACGGAGCATCATTGGTGGCATGATTGTGGTGATTGTTGTTTCTTCTCGTTGTATGCTTGTGTTTGTGTTTGCATTATTCCGTTACAGATGTATGACGTCAAAATCAGCCTCGCTATGGTGGAGGTGCGAGCGCAAGGCTCACAATCACTTGGCGAGCGCTCTGCAGCGAGCACTCTGTAGAGCACTCTGCACAACCGCTTGGCGGCGAGAGCCTCATTGGATGACAAATCATTCGTAGAGCACTCTGCACCGCTTTCATGGATCGACTAGTGAATATACTGGGTTATGAGGAGTTGGATTAGTCAGAAGGATTCTATTTGGTTCTATTGGGTTCCGTGGGTCGTAAGCGTGTGAGTCACTTTGGATTTGTCATCGCTAGGATTTCCTTGGGTATATTAAGGGGTTTTTGCTTTCGTTTCTTGTTCTTTTCCTTTTCTTTCTTTTACTATGCAACGTCTTCTGTATCTACGCTGTCTATTGCTATACAATATTATCGTCCTCTTCTTTACTCAAGAAGACCACCGCCTCGCTTCCCCTTGTCTCGTTGACCCTTACCGACGCTAGAGTCCCTTAGAACCCCTATTGCGAGTTCCTATACCGTCCCCTACTACACTCTTCGTACCCTGCGGAATACTCGCTACTCGCCCCCTTGAGAACCGCCTGCAGGAAAGAGCCTCCGCCTTGGCAGACTGCAAATTCTCGAGTCCAATGAAATCGTCTTGCCGTTTTTGCAGCAAGAGGTACAGCTCCTCCGCGAATTTTGACAGACATCTTCGAACGATCCATCCTTTGGAAGCAGATGAATGGCTGGGAAATCAATATTCACTGCTGGAGCACGATCAACCTGCAGAGACCCCCGACAACACTGACGAGAGCCCAGAGAGCATTCCCGATTACTATTCAGACACGCATTACGATTCAGAGTCGGACATTTTCGACCAAGATTCGGGTAACAATTCGGACCTCGAATCCGAATCATATTTCGTGATGGAAGAGGCAGATGGCGATTCAAATGGGCATAGTAGGGCATCTACGACAGTTTACGAGGGTGCTGGGGAGCCATTTTACCGCTCCGAGGACTACGACGAGTGCTCACAGAGCCTTCTCCAATACCCATGGCACCCATTCCGGTCAGCATACGAGTTCAGAATAGCACGCTATTTCACACTGTCCAAAGCCTCACAGGGGAACATCGACAGCTTCTTTCTACACGCTCCGCCGAGTAGTGGCGAGTGCTCCTACAGCACTGGGCGGGGTTTTATCAAGAGGTTGGAGGAAATGAACGATATACTGGGAAAGGCGAGCTGGAATCATTCGGAGGTGGATATTGGGGGGGAGAAGATCTCTTACTACCACCGGGATCCAATGGTAGTCGTCCGATATCTTCTAGGGCAACGTGCCTTCCGGGAGTCATTGGTGTATTCGCCCGTGGTGGAGCATAATGAATTCGGCGAGCGAATGTACGGGGAAATGCATACAGGAGATTGGTGGTGGGAGATACAGGTCCGTAAACTTCACCCTGTCAACTTGAGGTGCTCTATGAGCAGTCGATGATGCTACAGGAGCAGTCGCTAATGTCTTCTCGACAGAATACGTTACCGGAGGGGTCCACTGTCGTACCAATTATCTGCGCGTCGGATGGCACACATCTGACAAATTTCAGCGGGGACAAGAAAGCCTGGCCAATCTATCTTACCATCGGGAACATCAAGTTGTCGGTGCGCAACAAGCCCACAGGGCATTCATTCATTCTCCTAGGGCTGCTACCAGTGCCACCGAAGCTCGGAAAGAATACAACACTCGCTAATTCCGTTTTAAGACGTCAGAGTCAAATGGCACTGCATCGTGCCCTTGGGGAGATCTTTCAAAGCATTCGCGAGTGCTCTCAGGAGGGCGAGCTAATCAAATGCGCCGACGGCTATGAATGACTATGCTTTCCGGTGCTCTCGGGCTGGATCGCCGATCAACCCGAGCATTCAAACTTGCAAAACATTAGCACTAGTGCTTGCCCGAGATGCGAGGTGGAGTTTCACAATCTTGGGAGCACTCGTCGAAGCTCTATGCGCAATCATGAGGACTACAGGGAGAGGGTACAGCTATTTGGCGAGAAGCCGGGCAATCTAGAACCGGTAGAATACCTTGTTGGGAGATCCGTCAAAACACTCTTCAATGCTTTCTGGGGTATGCCGAGGGTTAATCCGTACGATCTCAATAAACCGGACATACTGCACAATATTTACCTGGGGATGTTGAAGCACATGATGGAGTGGATTCAGGGTTTCTTGAAGAAGCATCATCGATTGGAGGAATTCGACAAAGCTTGGGCTTCGATTGCGCCTTACCCTGGACTAGCAGTACCAAACAAGGCATATCGTTCTACCACCCAATGGCAAGGGAAAGAGATGCGGAATCTGGGGCGGGTCGTTCTAGGAGCACTCGCGGCTGCTCTGAGAAACCCGGGAGTGGCTGTCAGGAGCGACTTCGCAAAAGCTTTGAAATGCGTTCGAAGCCTAATAGACTTCCACTTAATGGCGCAATATGGGACTCATACAACGAGCACACTGGACTATATGGAGAGCTATCTCGAGGATTTCCATAAACACAAGGATATCTTTTTAGAATTCAGGGGTACAAGAAGACGTTAAAGGATGCGAGAGATCGAACGAAAGCAATTAGTGGCTCCCAGAGCACCCAGCGAGGCTTGGAGAAGATTCGGGAGATTCGGGAAAGATCGCACTTCAACTTCATCAAATTGCACGTCTTAATGCACTACCGGGAGCACGTTGAGCGCTTTGGTAGCATTCCTCAATACTCCACGGACGTCAGCGAGCTTGCCCATGTACGGCAGGTAAAAGAAGCTTACAGAGCGTCCAACAAGGTTGATGCTACGACGCAGATACTGGACTATGGAGGGAGGCGATTGGCGTTAGAGATTCGAATTCTGAATCTGAAAGACATCGTCGGAGGTTCTGAGAGCACTGACGACATCCTCTGGAGCCATCGGGATAACCTCAAGGAGTTGCTCGACATTTTCAAGATCGAGGACCGCAAGAAAACGCCAAATGAACGCTCAATAGTAGAAAGCGGACTGCCCCTGAAGCGTCTTTGCAACCCCTCCGCGAAATCGGAAAGACTTTTCAACGTGGCAGACGGACTGCAAATGAGCCATCTCACGCTATATCGCCTGATAAAGGAGTATGCCGAGGATGCGGGATGCTCTCAGAGCTTTGCCGGAAGCTCTGAGAGCATGTTGGAGCTATAACGTGGGTCTATGGACGATGGACTATAGTGCCAAGGAATACAACCGAGGCAAGAACGTAGTAGAAGATATTCGTAACTATGGACTATGAGGTGGTTCAATCCTGATCCGAGATCCAAGACGAGCCCTATGACGTAGCGTAGAACAAAAGTAATATTCGTGGAATAAATACAGAGGTTGCGTAAAGAAGAAAAGGAAAGAAAGAAAACAAACAAAAGCACGAAACAACGCCCCCTTATATATCCAACCATAGTCCAATGATGACTAATACTTCCGCATAACAGAAACTAAAAGAACATAACAGAAATCCTCATTACAAATCCTAATCCCGCTACACAATCCCTCCTCTTCTCGTTCCAACTTATCACCTAGCAGAAATACATAGTTGCCGTTACAGGAGCGCTGGGTGGAGGTTTTCACATGCTTGCAGGTTCCGATACCAATCTTCCAAAGGCCTGACGTATACGAGGTTCACAACATCAGGTGTACGGGAACAGCATCTTTTAGGAAGGGGAAAATAAGAAAGGATTGGGCATGGGTATCGGTAGGTTCCTCAGAGCAGTGGGGAGTGTTTCGGGGACGCTTACCAGGACGTGTGGAGGCTCTGTTCAAGGTGCGGGATAGCACAGGGCGCGCACATGGACTATGTGTAGTTGAGCTGCTTGAGGCGAAGGATCGTGGTATCGCTGATAGCTCACATGGGCTGCTGAAGGTCTGTAGGAGGAGGAGGAAGAGGATGTGGGTCGTGAATATTCGGAGTATATTAGGAATGGCCCATTTGTTCGAGGTGGATGCTGGCAATTGGCTGGTAAATACTAGGAAAGATTTGCGTACGTGGAATGAATTCAGTTGAATGCTGTAAAGCATTCCCGAGTGCTATGCAGTGATGTGAGAGGATCACCGAGTGCTATGCAGTGATGTGAGAGGCTTACCGGGTGCTATCCAGTGAGAGCATTACCGAGTGCTATCCAGTGATGTGAGAGGATTACCGAGTGCTATGCAGTGATATGCGAGGATTACCGAGTGCTATCTAGTGATGTGAGAGGATTACCGAGTGCTATCCAGTGATATGAGAGGAATACCGAGTGCTATCCAGTGATATGAGAGGAATACCGGGTGCTATTCAGTGAATGCTCTGAGGGCAGTGGCGAGTGCTCTACGAGTGGAATGTTAGACCCAATAGGACCGTCGAATTCAAAATTCGTGTCGTTCTGCTAGTACGCATGCGGATTGGAAGAGGGAGGTGAGTATCGGCCGCTCAGTATCTGAGTCTGACTATCCAGCAAGCCAGCTCCAGGAGGGCACGGTAGGCAGGCATTGGTCTTCCAACCAGTAAAGTCATCCTGCACCTTTTTCCAGTCCATGTTTGCTGCTTATGCATGGACATTGAGCTTCTCAGACGAGCCGTACCATGGCCCCAACCTCAAGGCTTATGCCTTTCACGAATCGACAGATACATACACGTTCGTCAAAGGTTTGGTAGCCATCTCCAGTATACACGACAGTGCTCGTATCAGTATTCCGCGACTGACCGTTCAGCGGCGTGAAGAATACCCACGTGAGATATCGTTTGAGGAACCGGCGATGCCTACCTTGCCTTTGAAGAAAGCGTATCGATTCATATGGGTCTAAGTGGGGGGTGTCCCACCTTGAATAGTATTATTAAAGATGTTTCCGCAGCTCTACGAGCATTGGTCAGTGCTATGGAAGCATTCGTGGTGCTCTCCGGACGTGAGCAATATCTCTTGGCAGTGCCTGGAAAAACTCATTGACGAAGAGTGTCTTGGCGTGGGCGATATGCTCTGGTGGTGCGTGGCGAGCAGCTCGTTGAGAATGCTCTCCTGGCGCAGATAGTACTGACGAGTGCTCTCTAGGCGTGAGCGATATGCTCTGGCAGCGCCTGGCGAGCAGCTCGTAGTGATTTGATCTCCTGGCGCAGATATTACTGACGAGTGCTGTCAGGGCGCTGACGCTGTCTCCTGGCGGGCCCCGACACGTCCGTGATTCGTTGCCAGTCCCTGGGCTGAAACTCATTAGTTGATCGTTCTCCAGACGCAGGAGGCATACCCAGGCATGTCATGGTGGAGAGAGCATCGCCGGGTGCTCTCAGGACGAGCACCATATCGCCTGGAGGTGCATGACGCGTGAAAGTGCACGACGAGCCTAGAGAAGCTTGCGGAGAGAGCATTGCTGGGTGCTCTATGGATGTAGGTGATATCGCTCAGAGTACTCTGTAGACAGTAGCATTAGCGAGTGCAAAGAAGCTCATTAGGGAGTGCGAATATGCTGCTCTGACAGCGGACTGCTTGGAGCGAGTGCTCTGCTTGGATCGAGTGCTCTGCTGGAGCGAGTGCTCGAGTTGCAGTCGTGAAAAGCTCTCTTCTCTGACGTGGTCAGATGATTGGCACTGCGCTCTGGCGGAGTGTATAGACGATTATGCGCCCTGGTGCTGCCAGACAGAGAACATACTGCTCTGGGGGCGTCGGGCGCGGATGCTAGCATCGCCTGGCGCGAGCACCCTGCTGTGGCGACGCCTGGCGCGAGCACCCTGCTGTGGCGATGGCTGGCGTGAGAACCCTGCCCTGGCGACGCCTGGCGCGAGCGCTCAACCCTGGCGACGCGTGACACGAGCACTCTGCCCTGGCAGCGCCTGGCGTGCCTGGTGCCCAGGGCGTAGGCGCTGCGCCCTGAGGAATAGCAGAGTTTGCTGATGAAAGTCGCAGACTACCGTCCTTCTTCTTCACAAATAGGATTGGGCTCCTGCTGGTGATTTGCTCGGCCTAATCTTTCCCAATCACAACATTTTGTCCAGGTACTCCCGAAGCACCTTCAGCTCGACTTCGGATAGGGAGTAGACGGGTCCCCATGGCGGCTGCTTCCCTGGTTCGAGGTCTATCGTATGGTCGTGAGATCGATGCGGTGGTAGATTATCTGCTTCCGATGGTAGGAAGACTTTAAGGAACTTGTGGAGCCAAGAGGGAAGAGTTTCGCGGAGGTTAACCGATTCATCTTCCAATAGACAGATGCTACCGATGAATTGTGCCTCCGGATCGTCTAATACGCCCTCGTCCATCTCTATTTGAAGTTCCTTGTCAGTGAAGCATCGACTCTTGCAGTTTTCACCATCGTAGGAAACTTCCCCATTTGCCCCTATAACCGGTTTGTGTTCTTTCAACCACCAGTTCGGTAGTATCGCATCGATGCCAAGTGGGAGAGGGGCGATTTCGAATGATAACTGTGTCTGATGCCCCCTTGACATTATAGTTAATGGTTGTGTAAAGGCGTGTCCCGTGCCCTTCATAACTTCTCCCGTAAATCCAAATACTCGGGCCGGGACGTCTCGTTTCACCTTCGGGACCTCAAAACTATCAACAAAAACAGCAGACAAAACAGGACCAGTTGCACCAGTATCCAACAACACCTTACAAGGTAAATATTTTTCCGCAAAACAAAGGAACTGATTAACGATAGGTCGAGGACCGTGAATGGGTTCCTCCAAAATTTTCTGTTTTTTCTCCGGTTGGGACGCTCTCCCTTCCTGCCTTTTTCTTTTCATATTTTTTTTGTTGTTTTCCATCAGTGATAACATAGCAATCTGGGGATACTCCTGACCTGACTCATCAGAGTCCCCTATGGAAATCCATATCGAAATCCATCTCAGATTCCGATCCGCGTTCTCGCACAAACGCTTGCCCACTGGTGTATTCCGCAGCAGCCGTAGCAGCCGGCTTTCTAGCACGATGCCTCATACGCTTTCTCTGAGGTTGGGGTTCCGGTGGTTCCATATCGTGGTCGCCATCGTCATCCCGGTTACGCTTTTGGGAGAGAGAGGAGATAGATGCACTGCTGTTAGCATCCGAACGACACCATTTCCAAAGATGACCCTTTCGGCCACATCGCACGCAGACACCATCGGTCTTTCGCTGGTCCCGGACTGGCTGTGGAACTCCTTTGATGGCTTCGTGGTAGTCGTGCAATATTGGGTTATTTCCTGACTTGTTCTTGCTGGTGCTCTTCTTATCTTGCCCTTTTTCCTTCTCCTCACCTTGAGCCCTCCCCTTAATTTTAAACCCCTTGTCTTTCTGCCGCGAGTTCCCACCATTATTCGACTCCTTTCCTCTCGACACCACTTTCCCCAACATCTTCATTTGCTCTTGATAAGCCTGGTGAGCCTTGCCGGCTCGTTCCAACTGTTGGATATACTCGGAGTCGTCATCGGTTGGATCGAAGCGTGAGTGGCGTTCTCGGATTTCATTTGGTAGCCCTTGGAGCAAGGCAGCGTGGTAGGATGCCCCTTTCATCTCAGCATGTTGGTTCATTATCTCCATCCTCGTCAGGTAGTCGCCAATGTTAGCCGAGTACTTGAACTGCTGCATCTTCATCGCGTTTTCCATAGCTTCCTGAGTGCTTAGGAAACGTTTCCTGACTTCCTGACGGAACCGAATCCAAGTGGCGTTGTCTGCACCGGCCAGGCCCAACATTTTGGTTTCGATGTATTCTATAAACCATTCCTTCGCCAACCCATACGTATACGTTCCAGCGAACAGTACCTTGTTCCTGTCCGTTCGGAACTTCTTTGGCTTCTGCTCGAAATAGATCTCGCACTCCATGAGCCAATGCCGCAGGTTATGCTTTCTGGCATTATCGAACTCAAAGGGTATTTTGGCGAGCGAATCTACCATGTCCTCGTCCTCAGGTGGCGCTGAATTCCGGTTCCCACCTCGGTTCATTCTCCAGTTCTTCCTACCATGCGACCATTCACTGTTATCGTCTTCATCGTCGTCGGAAGGTTCTGGGTCTCCCCCAAGGTTTCCTCTTGGTGGGTTTCGGGGAGGTTGATTTCCACCATTCCCTCCTACTGGAGCAGCTCCTACCGGTCGCCTGCCACTATTTCCCTGCACTGGGCCGGCGTCCTCCGGTTGCTTACCTCCATTTCCTCCTACTGGTCGCTTGCCGTTCCCTGATGTTTGGGGGCCAGCATTTTCGGGGTTCTTGCCATTGCAAACAGGAACCGTTTGGGGTGCGGTAGGATCTACGGGAGCACTAACGATGGAAGGTGCTACTGACAAATGTTGTCGTAGTCGTTCCTCCATCTCGGCTATCCGTTGGTTTCTTGCTTCATCGGACTGCTTGAATTGCGCAAACAGCTCCCGTTGTTCCCTTTTTTCCTGCTCCCGCTCTTCCCTCACTATCCTCAGTTGTCGCTCCGCCTCCAACAGCTGGTTCTGGGTATTCTGATGATTTCGTTCCAGAACCTCGTGGTCGGCGGCTCATGCGGCTTCTTGTACTTGTCGAACATTTGCGACGAGCTCGAAGAGCGATTCGAGGTGTTGCTTTGTTGCAATGGCTTCTGATCGTACTTTCTTATCCAGGACTTGCCCGCCCCCTTGCACTTGTTCCTGGAGGTTTTGTAGCTGCTGCCACATTGCCTTTCCTGCCATACCAAGATAACTCATTTGTGCCTCATGGGTATCCAAAAACTCCTGCATATGCCTCGTGAACTGGGCTTGAGTAGAGCGTTTACTCGATTGCCTAGTGTGTGTAGAGGGTCCTCCCTGGAGTAGGGGATCTGGGCTAGCAGCCCTCGATATTACCATAGAATCTTCCCCGGCCTCCTCAGTTACGGCCGAGGTATCTATGAAATAATTATCCCTTCGGGTAGTCATTGTAATGGGGGATAATGATGATAGTTCTTCTTTTTGAGGTGACTTCGTTACTCCAAGTGAACTTGTGAGTAACAATATACTGTGAGGGATGCGTACCAGACCACAAGAGTACACTACGCAGAGCTCAGAGTTCGGCTAACAGCTACAAAGGTAGAAGTCTCCAAGGTCTCTTCAGTCAACGTCGAGTATGAATCTCCCTGATCCGATACGGGCCCCGCGAGCTACGTTATCAACAAAGATTCACTAGAGTTAGCGTATGATGCTTCGACCGTCTTCGACGTAATAGTTCAGGTAGAGTTCGAAGTCACGATAGAATAAAGTATTCCAAAAGTATAGTCAAATAAAGTTGTAACTCGCGTATCAACGATTTATATTGTTAAGACTCTGATTTCGCCGATAATGATTTGGCTAGTCAGTAAATGACACAGTATTTATATCCCTCGCTTATGTCTCGAGGACCCAGTCTACTAATAATACAGAATACACTCGGGGCCTACCCGAGACCCTGAAAAACAACCAAGAACATTTAACTCCTAAGTCCGTAACCCAAACTCCTAAACCCGCTGAAACCCCTCAACCTATTTACCCACTCTAATGCACGTTTCCCTGTCGATGTTTCCTCTCCATTGGCCGTCTGGTGGATAATCGTCAGCGTCGGCTACTCGTAGGTCTCGGACTGCAAAGCTACCTACTCAGGCCTCTTCCCACATCGCTTTCCCACATAGCAGAGTCCTCTCATGCCCATAGGTACCGCCGATAGGTACTCGGTCGGCTGGTAGCTTGCGCCGATTCGCTCCGAGTGATCCGATCTTCGATCCGATTGCTTCCAGCTGTCCCTCATATATCCACCGGTACCAAAGCACTCCCCTCCGGTGGTTTGACGCTCCGGGGGTTATTATTGGGGTCGAAAACGTGTTTTTTATGACTCCGTATTTTGGTCGTATTTTGGTCGCACCACACCCCGCGGGTGCGGTCCAGAGTTGACGTTAGCGTGCAGAGGGTATTGGGGTATCTACTAGCCTTTTCTCGTAAATGCTTGGCATGCCCGTAACAGCTTACCCCCCTTCCAGGGTGTCACGTCTCGGGACATCTTCTGACAGACTATGGTTCCAGTAAACCTGCTCCACATATCACCCGCGGTGTCTGTGGAGGGGAAGGACTTAGCCCCGTAGGGTACCTCTATAGTCTCAGGCGTTGGTCCTTCACGGCCTTGGGGTTCCTTTGATGAAAGTTGCGGACTAGGTCAAGTACCTCCTCATTCATAGCGTCCATGACTTGGTACGTGCAGTCGCTCATCGAATAGCCCCGCCATTTCACCAGGTATTCCACTAATCCTCTCCTACTTTTCCGGCTTCCCACAATACTTTCCACTTCATACAGGACTTCTCCTTCCTTATCAACGTCTTCGGGAGTTGGGGGACGTTGTTCACGGCCTGGGATACTACTCTGTCGGTAACGTTCCAAGAGTTCAATATGGAAAACGTTGTGGATTTTGACTTGCGGTGGTAGTTCCAATTCGCAGGCTCGTTTACCGGCTAGTCGGACAATTTTAAATGGGCCGAGTTTCTTATGATCGAGTTTCTTGGTAGAACGTCGTGTCTTGATGTTGGTCGCGTTGAGCATAACCATGTCTCCCACCTTGAAGTTAGGCGGTTCGTCCCTTTTCCGATCATAGTATTTCCCCATCCTCTCCCTGGTGTCTGTTAAGCGAGCGAGAGCAGAATCATGAACTCCTCGAATGAAGTGAGCATACAGGTCACTGGTTGGGTTGACCACTTCGGCTTCTGTCGGCCAATTGGTTCTTGGGTTGTAACCATAATTGGTATAGAACGGAGATTGACCCGTGGCGGTGGTAACCGAGTTGTTGTAAGCATACTCCGCCAATGGGAGTAGCTCTGCCCAATCATCTTGCTCGTAGTTACAGAATGCTCGTAGATAATGCTCGAGGGTTTGATTGACTCGCTCTGTCTGCCCATCGGTCTGAGGGTGGAAAGCCGTACTCATTCTTATCCTCATGTCCAGTAACTCCATAAAGGATGCCCAAAAGCTTGAAGTAAACTTGGCGTCCCTGTCGGAGACTATATCAAGAGGCAGCCCATGGAGTCGCCAGATTTGACCGAGGAATATTTTCGCCAGGTCCTGGGCGGTCGTTTCTGCTACTAGGGGGATAAAGTGCGACATCTTCGAGAACCTATTGACTACTACCCAGATTTGGTTATATCCCTTGGATTCCGGTAACTGCACGATGAAGTCCATAGATATCGATTGCCAGACAGAATGTGGTGTGGACAATGGTAGAAGCACGCCGTATTTCTTGTGGCGGCTGGGTTTGTTGCGCTGGCACTCGTCACATGACCGAACGTAATCATCAATCCACTCGTTCATTTTTGGCCAATAGAAGTTACGCGTGATGAGTTCCAAAGTTTTGTCTTGTCCAAAGTGTTCTGCCACCTTCGAATCGTGTTCTGCCTGTGCGATTCGGATCTTGATACGGTCGTCTGCCGGAATGTAGAGTCGGTTCTTATAGAAGAGTAGCCCGTCTTTTTCAGCAATATCCTTCAATTCCCCCAGCTTCTCCCCTTGCTCAACTCTCTCTTTCAGTCCTACCCATATCGGGTCTCCCGATGCCGCCTGCCTGACATGATCCAGAAAATTCTTAGACCAGTCAATCACCCCCTTGGAGGCAAGCGACACCGCTGATACCACAAACTCTTCCTCCACCAACTGTCCGGGCTTAAAGAACATGTCTATCGGCTGTTTCCCAAGCGTGCCTCCCCCTTCAGGATGGTACTCCGGCCGTCGCGATAGTGCATCTGCCTTCCCATTTTTGGTTCCCGGGTGGTAAATAATCTTAAAGTCGAATTCCGCCAAAGACTCAGCCCACCTTGCCTGTCGTCGGTTAAGAACCTTGGTTGTAGAGAAGTACTCTAAGTTCTTATGATCCGTATAGACGAGGACCGTTCGGCTAGGTCCTTCGAGGTAGTGACGCCATTGCTTGAAGGCTGACACAATTCCTAGCATCTCCTTATCCCAGACGTCGTAGTTGAGTTCCGCTGGGTTAAGTTTTCGAGAATAAAAGGCAACAGGGTGAGTCTTTCCATCAATAACCTGGGATAGAATTGCGGCAATAGCAAAATCACTTGCGTCCGTTTCCACGATAGTCTGGCGGTCTGGAGCGAAGTGGACCAAGATCGGCGCAGACGTAAATAGGGTTTTGAGTTTTTCGAAGGCTGCTTGAGCCGTCATAGACCAGACAAAGTTCTTAGCATCACCCCTGAGACAATCGGTAATGGGTTTACAGACCCCGGAGAAATTGTGGATAAACCTTCTGTAGAAGTTGGCAAAGCCCATGAAGATCTGTACTTCCTTAACGCTGCGCGGGGCTTGCCAATTCGTAAAAGACATGACCTTATCCAGTGCCATGGTGACGCCTGCTGGGGCAACTATGTATCCGAGGAACTCGATTTCGGTGCGCTCGAAGAACGATTTCTTCGGGTTGGCGACCAGGTTGTATTCTTGTAGCCTGCTAAGTACTTTGCCTACCAGCTCCCTGTGTTCCTCTCGAGACTTGCTATATATTAGGATATCATCAAGGTATACTACTACACCTTGATCCAAGAATTCCCTCAGCGCATCATTCATCATGTTCTGGAAGGTCGCCGGCGCATTTGCCAGCCCAAAAGGCATGACGAGGTACTCAAAATGCCCGTACCGCGTACGGAATGCTGTCTTCCACTCGTCGCCGTCTTTGATCCTGATGAGGTTGTAACCTTCCTTCAGGTCAATCTTCGAGAAGATAACCGCGCCTGCCACTCGATCTCGCAGTTCATCCATAAGCGGTAACGGATACCTGTTCTTGATGGACACTCGGTTAAGTCCACGGTAGTCAACGCAAAGTCGCAGACTACCGTCCTTCTTCTTCACAAATAGGATTGGGGCTCCTGCCGGTGATTTACTCGGCCTAATCTTTCCCAATCGCAACATTTTATCCAGGTACTCCCGAAGCACCTTTAGTTCGACTTCGGATAGGGAGTAAACGGGTCCCCATGGTGGCTACTTTCCTGGTTCGAGATCTATCGCATGGTCGTAAGATCGATGAGGTGGTAATTTGTCGGCTTCCGATGGTAGGAAGACTTTAAGGAACCTATGGAGCCAAGAGGGAAGAGTTTCAAGGAGGTTGACCGATTCATCTTCCAAAAAACAAATGCTACCGATGAATTGGGCCTCCGGATCGTCCAGTACACCCTCGTCCATCTCTATTTGAGGTTCCTTGTCAGTGAAGCATCGACTCTTACAGTTCTCGCCATCGTAGGAAACTTCCCCATTTGCCCCTATAACCGGCTTGTGTTCTTTCAACCACCAGTTCGGTAGTATCGCATCGATGCCAAGTGGGAGAGGGGCGATCTCGAATGACAACTGTGTTTGATGCCCCCTTGACATTATAATTAATGGTTGTGTAAAGGCGTGTCCCGTGCCCTTCATAACTTCTCCCGTAAATCCAAATACCCGGGCCGGGACGTCTCGCTTCACCTTCGGGACCTCAAAACTATCAACAAAAACAGCAGACAAAACAGGACCAGTTGCACCAGTATCCAACAACACCTTACAAGGTAAATATTTTTCCGCAAAACAAAGGAACTGATTAACGATAGGTCGAGGACCGTGAATGGGTTCCTCCAAAATATTCTGTTTTTTCTCCGGTTGGGACGCTCTCCCTTCCTGCCTTTTTCTTTTCATATTTTTTTTGTTGTTTTCCGTCAGTGATAACATAGCAATCTGGGGATACTCCTGACCTGGCTCATCAGAGTCCTCTTCTAAAAACCCCTATCGAAATCCATCTCAGATTCCGATCCGCGTTCTCGCACAAACGCTTGCCCACTGGTGTATTCCGCAGCAGCCGTAGCAGCCGACTTCTTGGCACGGTGCCTTATTCGCTTTTTCTGAGGTTGGGGTTCCGGTGGTTCCATATTGTGGTCACCATCGTCATCCCGGTTACGCTTTTAGGAGAGAGAGGAGATAGATGCACTGCTGTTAGCATCCGAACGACACCATTTCCAAAGATGACCCTTTCGGCCACATCGCACGCAGACACCATCGGTCTTTCGCTGGTCCCGGACTGGCTGTGGAACTCCTTTGGTGGCTGCATCGTAGTCGTGGAATATTGGCTTATTCCCTGACTTGTTTTTGCTGGTGCTCTTCTTATCTTGTCCTTTTTCTTTCTCCTCAGTCTGAGCCCTCCCCTTGATCTTAAACCCCTTCTGTAACGGAGCCATTTCAACTGTCTGGTGTATGAGTACACACAGGGCCCGATTACATGCTGAGAGTTATTGTTAGAAGCCAGTTGCGCGGTGATATGCAAGTACCGGCAGTGTGGTTAGCTACCAGCTGTTAGAGTAACTACATTCCGGGCGCTAGGAAGGGGATCTATTCATGGGAGCAATGACTGACGAGTCTATGCCTCGCCAGTGACTAGAAGACCGGCCAGAGTGAAGCTCTGATTGTCCGGTGATCCTCTATATCCTCTGAGCATTGTATGACCGCCAAAGAGGCAGGGACTATGCTAGGGAAGTCTACAATAAGCGAAAGCTCTACAGCAATGATTAAGCTTACACCTGAGCGGCAGCTCATTCATGCAGGCCCTCGGTTGTGTGGCAACCAAGGCTGCAGGTGTTACAAAGGCTTTGACTAAGGGTGGTTGCCTTGGGTATCGGAAACACCTGCTAACGCTTAGAGAAAAGCGGGGTAGCGGTGGTATTGTTTCCGGTACTGAGGAAAGGCCCAACGGAACTTAGTAAGGAGTTAGGAGCAGAGAATAGAGGCCTTTGGAGTATAAGTACTCAGGTTCATTCTCGCCCTTCAGTCCTGTTCTCTCCAGTCTTCATCAGAAAGAAAACCAAGTTCTTATCGGTAGCAGAGCCCTTAAAGATTATTGAGTTCTAGCGATAGTATCTTTGAATAATCTGCAACCTGATTGTCTATCTTGCACGGCCGTCTCTATTCTATCCGATTCTATTTCTCTTAGAAAGAACCCCCGTTACAGATAATCTTTAAGGCTCAAGTCACCTTCAGATTATTCTTCTTCTATACAAAAATGTCCGCCCTATCAGCTCCAGAAGTGCCTCTTCAGATTGAATGGCAGCCGGTGCCCCTCCAGCTTGATGCCAACGGGCAGACACAGCTTGTTAAGAAACCCAGGACCGCTCTACAGACCTATATCCCCGGTTGTGAGCCTGCCTGGCAGGATACCGACGAGGTTTCCATCCAACAGTTCTTCACAGAGCTTCAGACCTACCTTCAGCATAGCCTGCAGAATCAGTTGACCCGAGGCGGTCAGGCACTGCTCGTTGTGCAAGAGCGCCAGGCAGCACAGAATGCTCTGATGGCAGAAGCTCTTGAATATATGAGGCATGAAGTCAACTCTGTCCAGGAAGAACTCCGAAAGTACGCGGAAAGGGATGAATTGGCAGCCGATGCCATGGAGATTGAGTGGACAAACCCGGCAACTCCGCCAGATTTTGTTGCCGAGATACAGAAAGCCCTTGATGAAGGAAGGCTAGTGGTAGGGAGACCAGCAACTCCGGTACCAAATCCAGGCTCCAGGTCCTCGTCCAGGGCAGCCACCAGGACAATGCAGCGGAAGACCAGTCCCTTCTCAGCATTTCCGGTCAGATCCACTAGGAGAGTTGTTCCTATTGTCCAGCCAGCGGTGGGAGCATCTCCCTTACCTCCTAGTCGCTTTGCAGGAGTAAATCCATTTCTTGGATTAGCCGACCGATCCTTTGACTATGAGGGAGAACTCTACCCCGGTGCAGGCCGAGGACCTCCCAGCCCGCTAGCCAGGAATCCAGGAAGGTTCACCATGTCCGGGGCCGCTCAACCAGCAGCAACCTCACCACTGGCCAGCAATGTGGCACCAGTAGCACCTGTGGCCCCTCCTGCTGTGGCCGCCGCTCCCCCTCCAGCTCAAGCACAGGGTGGAAGTGGTGGGAACCAGAACCCTCCGGCCCAAGCACAGGGTGGAAGTGGTGGAAACCAGAACCCTCCACCTCCTGTGGCCCGTGCTCCTGCTCCTGGAGACTCAGACAGTTCTGACAGCTCCGATTCGGAACCAGAAGGTGGTGATAGAAGAGGCTGGCGGAGATATCTCAAGAAGAAGTTGGAGAAACAGCAGAAGAATCTGTTGGCTATGATGTCCCAGCAGTTCCGACCTCCGACCGCCTCTCCCTCTTCCTCAACAACCAGGGCCCGAGAACCAAAGGCACCACCACCCTCCAAGTTCCAGGGCAAAGCGGAGCAAGTGGAAACCTTTATCCGGCAATGTGAGAATGTGTTCTCCATTGAGAGTCTGTCCTTTACCTCTGAGGAGGTTAAGATTCGATATGCAGGCAACTTGATGGAAGGAGAGGCAGCGATCCGATGGTATGAGGCATACCATAATTCGATTGATCAAGCCTCCGCCAACCGCCTTGCTGGAATGCCGGTGTCTTTGGATCTGAGATGGAAGCGTTGGGATTCCTTTGTGGATGCTTTTAGAGCTGCCTTCGGTGAAGCCATCTCCCGAGATGATGCTGTAGCCCAATGGAATGCCCTAACCCACACGGCTCGAGGAGGAATAGACCTCTTCCTGAATACTATTATTCAGCTGATGTGGAAGACTGGCTATGAGGGTCAGTTGGTGGATGATAAGATTCACAATTCCCTCCTCCCGGACCTAGGCATGAGTTGGGCTCTTTTTAATCCCAAGCCAAAGTCCTTGATGGAGCGGATAGCTGCTCTAAGAGAGTTAGGGCACACACATGAAAGGTACCAAGGGATGGCAGCTGAGAAAGCGCACCCTCGGACCAAGAAAGATCCTCCTGCTCAGAAGGACCAGCAGCCTAAGAGGAAAAGAGAAGCTGCAAGCTCCTCCGGACCTCAGAAGACTCCTGGACCTAAAGACAAAGCGGTGGAACTGAAGGGTATCCCGGGGGATATTCTAGAAGAAAGAATGAAAGCAGAAGTATGCTTGAAGGTATGACCTTCCGGTACTCCCTATTGGTAGAGTGCATAGACTGACTTGTGCAATAGTGCGGCAAGTCCAGACACAAATGGACCGATTGTTGGTCCAAGCAACCCACTGTTGTTCGAGTGGCAGCAGTGAGAGTACAAAAGCGGAAAAGAGGGAAGGGTAATTCCAACTCTCAGAAGAAGGCTAAAGTGGCTGCTGTAGTAGCAGAAGATCCACTTGTTGTACTCCCGGAGGTTACAGAAGATTTTGTTTTCCAGCCTGAGCAAGACTCGGACAATGAAATCATCTGGTAGAAAAGTGTCTGTTTGAAGTCTATGTTTACTAGTTTTCGTTTATATGGGTTTTCGGTTTATTGTTTCTCTTGAATAAATTATGATTGTGTTTCTGCCTATTTGATTGCTCTAAGCACTCTGAGGATGGGTTTAAGACCCGAAACAGCTGGTCTGTCAGTGCTCTACCAAAAGTTACATTTGCTACGAAGACACTTCCAAAAACCGCTACCAAAACTACACATCATATCTGCTATAACTTCGCTTGGGAATAAAACCAAAGGATCTTTGATCTTAGTAGTGCCCAAAGCTATTAGCCATGTTGAAAAGACAAAGAGAAACGAGTTCGGAACCCGCTATTAAGCAAAGAAAGCTGGAATCGAGGCTTCCTTCTTTACCAGTACATGGAAAAAGACCTATACTGAAGGCAGGACTGTCATGGACGGTCAAAGGAAAGGATGAAGGCGCCCAAGGGTCTTTCCTGTTTGACACCGGTTGTACAGGAGCTATCCTCAACCAGAGTTTTGTCAGGAAACATGGAATTCCCTTAGTGCGGCGGGATCAACCACTGACAATGTTTGATGCTCAAGGAGATGTCATGATGGGAGGAGGTGAGTATTATACTCACCCGGTCCGTATGACTATGGGAGATCATAAGGAGACACTCCGATGGGAGGTGGCTACTTTGGAAGAAGGAATGACCGGTTATCTGCCAATTAGTTGGGCAAGGAAGCATAACCCGGATATCAATTGGGAACTCAACACCATGAGCTGGAGGAGTGACTACTGCAAGCAGAATTGTCTCCCAGCGGCCACCAAGATTGAACTGATCTCTCCATACCAGATGCTGGAGGAAGAAGAGACAGTCTATCAATTGGTTGGTTCAGTATGGCATGATGAGGACGGAGGTGCTATTGCTGAGAAAATACACCACCTATATCGGGAATGGGCTGATGTGTTCAGTCAAGAGAGAATTGAGGAAATGCCGCCGCATTCCCATAATGATTTGAAGATCAAACTCTTGCCTGGGACCGCTCCCCCATTTGGCCCGCTGTACCCATGTTCCGCTCCAGAGTTGAAGGCCCTCCGAGAGTACCTGGACAAAGAATTGTCTTCAGGAAAGATCTCTAGATCAAATAGCCCTGCTGCGGCACCCATATTGTTCATTCCTAAGAAGGATGGGACATTGCGGATTTGTGTGGATTACAGAGGTTTGAACAAGGTCACTGTCAAGGACAAGTATCCGCTCCCTATCATGAGTGAGCTCAGAGACAGGTTGTTCAAGGCCAAGATCTTCACAAAGATAGACCTAAAGAACGGCTTCAATTTGATCAGGATAGCTGAAGGTGATGAGTGGAAAACCGCTTTCAGAACTCGCTATGGACTGTATCAATATAATGTAATGCCGTTTGGACTATGCAACGCTCCCTCCGCCTTTCAGGCAATGATCAATGATGTGCTAAAGGAACTACTGGATGAAGGAGTGGTTGTCTATATTGATGACATCCTCATCTACTCGGAAAATGAGAAAGAGCATGAGCTACTGGTCAAGAAGGTCTTACAGAAGCTTAGGGAAGCTAAGCTCTGTGCCTCGATCAGTAAGACATCTTTCCATGTCCGAGAGGTAGAATACCTGGGCTATCATATCTCAGAACAGGGAGTATCTATGTCAGAAGATAAGGTGGAGGCAGTTAAGGAATGGCCGGTCCCTGAGAATATCAAGGCTGTACAGGCATTCCTCGGATTTGCAAACTTCTATCGCCGCTTTATTGAAGGCTTCAGTAAAGTTTGCAAACCATTAACTGATCTCCTGCAAAAAGACAAGAAATGGTATTGGACGGCAGCACATGAGCAGGCCTTTGAAGAACTCAAGAGGCTGTTCACAAGCGCTCCAATCATTCTTCATTTTGACCCTAGTAGGAGCACGGTGGTTGAGACAGATGCCAGTGATTTTGCCAAAGGAGCGGTGCTCTCTCAGTATGGGGACGATGGAAAGCTACATCCGGTGGCATTCTATTCTAAGAAGTTCTCCCCTGCTGAGATCAACTATGACATTCATGATAAGGAAATGGGAGCTATTGTAGCCTCTTTCCGGGAATGGGAACACATGCTCAAATCTTGTGAGCAAGAGATCACGGTTTTTACAGAACACAAGAACTTGGAGTATTTTAATTCTACCAAGGTTCTCACTAGGCGGCAAGCTAGATGGTCTGAGGACCTCGCAGGCTACAATTTTAAAGTTGTCTACAGACCGGGAGAAAAGAATGGCAAGACTGATGTGCTATCTAGGCGCTGGGATCACCGCCTTGGAGAGGGAGGTGAAACTCTGCAGCCGGAGCCACAGATCTTTTTTAGGCCAGGTCAATTGGTTTTGGATCCTGCAAAGCTAGTGGCTGTCAGGGTGAATCAATTGCAGAATACATTCTTAGAGCGCCTATATGCGGCTGCTAAAGAGGATAGTTTCTGGCAGGAACTGCACCGCTCCCTGGTTGAAAGGAAACCAAATTTGGACCAGAACTTGTCGGTCAAGAACGGTCTCATCTTCTATAAGAATAGATGGTATATACCCAAAGACAAAAAGCTTCAGATGGAAATACTGTCCGCTACCCATGACTCTAAGGTGGCTGGTCATTTTGGCCAATTTAAGACACTTGAGCGGGTGAAAAACAACTTCTTTTGGCCCAACATGGATAAGGATGTTGAGGAATATGTCCGGAGCTGTGACAGCTGCCAGAGGAATAAGACCTCAAGACATAGGAAGTTTGGTATGCTCCAACCGTTGGAGATACCCTATCGGCCATGGACTTCCATCTCTATGGACTTCATTGTGGGATTGCCGGAATCTAGTGGGTTTACAAAGATCTGGGTAATAGTGGACCGCTTTTCGAAGATGGCACACTACATCCCTCTTCCTACCCTCAATAAAACGGAAGATTTGGCTAAGTTGTTCTTGAAGGAGGTTTGGAGACTCCATGGTTTACCTGACGACATAGTCTCGGACAGAGATAGCAGGTTCATCTCTCACTTTTGGCAATCTCTCATGAGTCTCCTCAATGTGAAGCTGAAGATGTCCACATCTTTCCACCCACAAACGGACGGTCAAACAGAAAGAGTTAACCAGACCCTGGAACATTACTTGCGGAGTTATTGTTCATATCAACAGGATGACTGGGCAGAACTCTTGCCTTTGGCAGAGTATGCATATAACTCGGCGGTCTCTGAGTCTACCAAAGTATCGGCTTTTTATGCCAACTATGGATATGAACCCAGGACCAACTGGCCGGCCCCAAAGGAAGGAGTAGAATGGAACAATCCAGCGAGTGAGGTCATGATATCTCAATGGGAATCTATCTGGCAGGCTATGAACGCCAGCTTAGGTAAAGCTAGATTAAGGATGGCCCGGTGGTATGATGCTCATGCCCTGGCACCGCCTGAAATCAAGCCCGGAGATGAAGTTATGTTGGACCGGCGCAATGTGCAAACAAAGCGGCCTTTGGGAAAATTGGATCAGAAGAAGATGGGACCCTTTAAGGTCTTGGAAGCTATTGGTACCCGTGCCTACAAGCTCTCTCTTCCCCCCCAAATGGGAATCCACCCGGTCTTTCATGTCTCTCTTCTGGAACCTTACCGAGCACCGGTAGATCCTGAGAGAAGAGTTCCTGTACCGGAGCCTGAAGAGATTGAAGGAGAACAGAACTGGGTTGTCCGGGAGGTAGCCGATAGCCGGGTCAATAAGAAAAGAAGACGAGTGGAATACCTAGTGCTGTGGGAAGGTTATGAGAACGAGGATGCTACATGGGAACCTTGGGAGCATCTCAAGAAGAGTGCCGAAGAAGCCCTTCGAGATTTCCATATGAGGTATCCTAAGAAACCCAAGGACAAGCGGATTGTTGGGGTGTAGATTTTTCCTTTGGGTTTTCATTTCCTTGCCTATCACGGAGTTCCTTGTCATATAGATCGAATAAATAATAGAATGGATATAGATCTTGGAGACCCAGATCCTGGAAGAGGGGAGTGGTGTAACGGAGCCATTTCAACTGTCTGGTGTATGAGTACACACAGGGCCCGATTACATGCTGAGAGTTATTGTTAGAAGCCAGTTGCGCGGTGATATGCAAGTACCGGCAGTGTGGTTAGCTACCAGCTGTTAGAGTAACTACATTCCGGGCGCTAGGAAGGGGATCTATTCATGGGAGCAATGACTGACGAGTCTATGCCTCGCCAGTGACTAGAAGACCGGCCAGAGTGAAGCTCTGATTGTCCGGTGATCCTCTATATCCTCTGAGCATTGTATGACCGCCAAAGAGGCAGGGACTATGCTAGGGAAGTCTACAATAAGCGAAAGCTCTACAGCAATGATTAAGCTTACACCTGAGCGGCAGCTCATTCATGCAGGCCCTCGGTTGTGTGGCAACCAAGGCTGCAGGTGTTACAAAGGCTTTGACTAAGGGTGGTTGCCTTGGGTATCGGAAACACCTGCTAACGCTTAGAGAAAAGCGGGGTAGCGGTGGTATTGTTTCCGGTACTGAGGAAAGGCCCAACGGAACTTAGTAAGGAGTTAGGAGCAGAGAATAGAGGCCTTTGGAGTATAAGTACTCAGGTTCATTCTCGCCCTTCAGTCCTGTTCTCTCCAGTCTTCATCAGAAAGAAAACCAAGTTCTTATCGGTAGCAGAGCCCTTAAAGATTATTGAGTTCTAGCGATAGTATCTTTGAATAATCTGCAACCTGATTGTCTATCTTGCACGGCCGTCTCTATTCTATCCGATTCTATTTCTCTTAGAAAGAACCCCCGTTACACCTTCTCCTTCTGCCGCGAGTTCCCACCATTACTCGACTCCCTTCCTCTCGACTCCGCCTTCCCCAACATCTTCATCTGCTCTTGATAAGCCTCGTGAGCCTTGCCGGCTCCTTCCAACTGTTGGATATACTCGGAGTCGTCGTCGGTTGGATCGAAGCGTGAGTGGCGCTCTCGGATTTCATTTGGTAACCCTTGGAGCAGGGCAGCGCGATATGATGCCCCTTTCATCTGGGCATGTTGGTTCATTATCTCCATCCTCGTCAGGTAGTCGCCGATGTTAGCCGAGTATTTAAACTGCTGCATCTTCATCGCGTTTTCCATAGCTTCCTGAGTACTTAAGAAGCGTTTTCTGATCTCCTGACGGAACCGAGTCCAAGTGGCGTAGTCCGCGGCTGCCGGAACTAGCATCTTGATCTCGATATATTCCATAAACCATTCCTTTGCCAAACCACACTTATATGTTCCTGTGAACAGTACCTTATTTCTGTCCGTTCGGAACTTCTTCGGCTTCTGCTCGAAGTAGATCTCGCACTCCATGAGCCAATGCCGCAGGTTATGCTTTCGGGCATTATCGAACTCAAAGGGTATTTTGGCGAGCGAATCTACCATATCGTCGTCCTCAGGCGGCTCCGAATTTCGGTTCCCGCCTCGGTTCATTCTCCAATTCTTCCGACCGTGCGACCATTCGCTGTTATCGTCGTCATTGTCGTCGGAAGGTTCTGGATCTACCCCAAGGTTACCTCTTGGTGGGTTTCGGGGAGGTTGATTTCCACCATTCCCTCCTACTGGAGCAGCTCCTACCGGTCGCCTGCCACTGTTTCCCTGCACTGGGCCGGCGTCCTCCGGTTGCTTGCCTCCATTTCCACCAACTGGGCGAGCTCCTTCTGGTTGCTTGCCATTCCCTGATGTTTGAGGGCCAGCATTTTGGGGGTTCTTGTCATCGCCAACAGGAACCGTTCGGGGTGCATTAGGATCTAAGGGAGCACTGGCCACGGAAGGTGCTACTGACAGATGTTGTCGCAGTAGTTCCTCCATCTCGGCTATCCGTTGGTTTCTTGCCTCATCGGACTCCTTGAATTGCGCAAATAAAGCCCGTTGTTCTCCTTTCTCCTTGTTACGGGCATGTCAAGCATTTATGAAAAGGCCAGTAGATACCCCAATACCCTCTGCACGCGAACGTCAACTCTGGACCGCATCCGCGGGGTGTGGTGCGACCAATATACGACCAAAAGATGGAGTTATAAAAAATACGTTTTCGACCCCAATAATAACCCCCGGAGCGTCAAACCGCCGGAGGGGAGTGCTTTGGTACCGGTGGATATATGAGGGACAGCTGGAAGCAATCGGATCGAAGATCGGACCACCCGGAGCGAATCGGCGCAAGCTACCAGCCGACCGAGTACCTATCGGCGGTACCTATGGGCATGAGAGGACTCTGCTATGTGGGAAAGCGATGTGGGAAGAGGCCTGAGTAGGTAGCCTTGCCGTCCAAGACCTACGAGTAGCCGACGCTGACGATTATCCACCAGACGGCCGATGGAGAGGAAACATCGACAGGGAAACGTGCATTAGAGTGGGTAAATAGGTTGAGGGGTTTTAGCGGGTTTAGGAGTTTGGGTTACGGACTTAGGAGTTAAATGTTCTTGATTGTTTTTCAGGGTCTCGGGCAGGCCCCGAGTGTATTCTGTATTATTAGTAGACTGGGTCCTCGAGACATAAGCGAGGGATATAAATACTGTGTCATTTACTGACTAGCCAAACCATCATCGGCGAAATCAGAGTCTTAACAATATAAATCGTTGATACGCGAGTTACAACTTTATTTGACTATACTTTTGGAAATACTTTACTCTATCGTGACTTCGAACTCTACCTGAACTATTACGTCGAAGACGGTCGAACATCATACGCTAACTCTAGTGAATCTTTGTTGATAACGTAGCTCGCGGGGCCCGTATCGGATCAAGGAGATTCATACTCGACGTTGACTGAAGAGACCTTGGAGACTTCTACCTTTGTAGCTGTTAGCCGAACTCTGAGCTCTGCGTAGTGTACTCTTGTGGTCTGGTACGCATCCCTCACAGTATATTGTTACTCACAAGTTCACTTGTAGTAACGAAGTCACCTCAAAAAAAAAAAACTATCATCATTATCCCCTATCGCAATGACTACCCGAAGGGATAATTATTTCATAGATACCTCGGCCGTAACTGAAGAGGCCGGGGAAGATTCTATGGTAATATCAAGGGCTGCTAGCCCAGATCCCCTACTTACGGGAGGACCCTCTACACAAACTAGGCAATCGAGTAAACGCTCTGCTCAAGCCCAGTTCGTGAGGAATATGCAGGAGTTTTTGGATACCCATGAGGCACAAATGAGGTATCTTGGTGCAGCTGGACAGGCCGTTTGGCAGCAGCTACAAAACCTCCAGGAACAAGTCCAAGGGAGTGGGCAAATCCTGGACAAGAAGGTACGGCAAGAAGCCATTGCCCAAAAACAACATCTTGAATCGCTCTTTGAGCTCGTCGCCAATGTCCGACAAGTACAAGAGGCTGCACGAGCCGCCGACCATGAGGTTCTGGAGCGAAGTCATCATCAAACCCAGACCCAACTACAGGAGGCGGAGCGACAACTGAGGATGGTGAGAGAAGAGCGGGAGCAGGAAAAAGGGGAGCAACGAGCTTTGTTTGCGCAATTCAAGCGGTCCGATGAGGAAAGAAACCAACGGATAGCCGAGATGGAGGAACTACTGCGACAACATCTGTCAGTAGCACCTTCCGTGGCTAGTGCTCCTTTAGACCCTGATGCACCCCGAACGGTTCCTGTTGGCAATGGCAAGAACCCCCAAAATGCTGGCCCCCAAACATCAGGGAACGGCAAGCAACCAGAAGAAGCTGGTCCAGTTGGAGGAAATGGAGGCAAGCAACCGGAGGACGCCGGCCCAGTGCAGGGAAATAGTGGCAGGTGACCAGTAGGAGCTGCTCCAGTAGGAGGGAATGGTGGAAATCTACCTCCCCGAAACCCACCAAGAGGAAACCTTGGGGGAGACCCAGAACCTTCCGAAGACGATGACGACGATAACAGCGAATGGTCGCATGGTCGGAAGAATTGGAGAATGAACCGAGGCGGGAACCGAAATTCGGAGCCGCCTGAGGACGACGATATGGTAGATTCGCTCGCCAAAATACCCTTTGAGTTCGATAATGCCCGAAAGCATAACCTGCGGCATTGGCTCATGGAGTGCGAGATCTACTTCGAGCAGAAGCCGAAGAAGTTCCGAACGGACAGAAATAAGGTACTGTTCGCAGGAACATATAAGTGTGGGTTGGCAAAGGAATGGTTTATGGAATATATCGAGACCAAGATGCTAGGTCCGGCAGCCGCGGACTACGCCACTTGGACTCGGTTCCGTCAGGAAATCAGAAAACGTTTCCTAAGCACTCAGGAAGCTATGGAAAACGCGATGAAGATGCAGCAGTTTAAGTACTCTGCTAACATCGGGGACTACCTGACAAGGATGGAGATCATGAACCAGCATGCTCAGATGAAAGGAGCATCCTATCGCGCCGCCTTGCTCCAAGGGCTACCAAATGAAATCCGGGAGCGCCACTCACGCTTCGATCCAACCGAGGATGACTCCGAGTACATCCAACAGTTGGAACGAGCCGGCAAGGCTCACGAGGCTTATCAAGAGCAGATGAAGATGTTGGGGAAGGCGGAGTCGAGAGGAAGGGAGTCGAGTAATGGTGGGAACTCGCCGCAGAAGGATAAGGGGTTTAAGATTAAGGGGAGGGCTCAGACTGAGGAGAAGGAAAAAGGACAAGATAAGAAGAGCACCAGCAAGAATAAGTCTGGAAACAAACCAATATACCAGGACTACGACGAAGCCACCAAAGGAGTTCCACAGCCAGTCCGAGACCAGCGAAAGACCGATGGTGTCTGCGTGCGATGTGGCCGAAAGGGTCATCTTTGGAAATGGTGTCGTTCAGATGTTAACAGCAGTGCATCTATCTCCTCTTTATCCCGAAAGCGTACCCGCGATGACGATGGCGACCACGACATGGAACCACCGGAACCCCAACCTCAGAGAAAGCGAATGAGGCACCGTGCTAGGAAGCCGGCTGCTACGGCTGCTGCGGAGTACACCAGTGGGCAAGCGTTTGTGCGAGAACGTGGATCGGAATCTGAAATGGATTTCGATAGGGGTTTTTAGAAGGGGACTCTGATGAGTCAGGTCAGGAGTATCCCCAGATTGCTATGTTATCACTGACGGAAAACAACAAAAAAAATATGAAAAGAAAAAGGCAGGAAGGGAGAGCGTCCCAACCGGAGAAAAAACAGAAAGTTTTGGAGGAACCCATTCACGGTCCTCGACCTATCGTTAATCAGTTCCTTTGTTTTGCGAAAAAATGTTTACCTTGTAAGGTGTTGTTGGATACTGGTGCAACTGGTCCTGTTTTGTCTGCTGTTTTTGTTGATAGTTTTGAGGTCCCGAAGGTGAAGCGAGACGTCCCGGCCCGGGTATTTGGATTTACGGGAGAAGTTATGAAGGGCACGGGACACGCCTTTACACAACCATTAATTATAATGTCAAGGGGGCATCAAACACAGTTGTCATTCGAGATCGCCCCTCTCCCACTTGGCATCGATGCGATAACACCGAACTGGTGGTTGAAAGAACATAAGCCGGTTATAAGGGCAAATGGGGAAGTTTCCTACGATGGCGAGAACTGCAAGAGTCGATGCTTCACTGATAAGGAACCTCAAATAGAAATGGACGAGAGTGTATTGGACGATCCGGAGGCCCAATTCATCGGTAGCATTAGTCTTTTGGAAGATGAATCAGTTAACCTCCGTGAAACTCTTCCCTCTTGGCTCCATGGGTTCCTTAAAGTCTTCCTACCATCGGAAGCAGACAAATTACCACCGCATCGATCCTACGACCATGCGATAGACATCGAACTAGGAAAGCAGCCACCATGGGGACCCGTCTACTCCCTATCCGAAGTCGAGCTGAAGGTGCTTCGGGAATACCTGGACAAAATGTTGCGATTGGGAAAGATTAGGCCGAGCAAATCCCCGGCAGGAGCCCCAATCCTATTTGTGAAGAAGAAGGACGGTAGTCTGCGACTTTGCGTTGACTACCGTGGACTTAACCGAGTGTCCATTAAGAACAGGTATCTGTTACCGCTTATGGATGAGCTGCGAGACCGAGTGGCAGGCGCGGTTATCTTCTCGAAGATTGACCTGAAGGAAGGTTACAACCTCATCAGGATCAAAGACGGCGACGAGTGGAAAACAGCATTTCGTACACGGTACGGGCATTTTCAGTACCTCGTCATGCCTTTTGGGCTGGCAAACGCGCCGGCGACCTTCCAGAACATGATGAATGATGCGCTGAGGGAATTCTTGGATCAAGGTGTAGTAGTATACCTTGATGATATCCTAATATATAGCAAGTCTCGAGAGGAGCACAGGGAGCTGGTCGGCAAAGTACTTAGCAGGCTACAAGAATACAACCTGGTCGCCAACCCGAAGAAATCGTTCTTCGAACTCACTGAAATCGAGTTCCTCGGATACATCCTTGCCCCAGTAGGCGTCACCATGGCACTGGATAAGGTCATGTCTGTTACGAATTGGCAAGCCCCGCGCAGCGTTCAGGAAGTACAGATCTTCATGGGCTTTGCCAACTTCTACAGAAGGTTTATCCACAATTTCTCCGGGGTCTGTAAACCCATTACCGATTGTCTCAGGGGTGATGCTAAGAACTTTGTCTGGTCTATGACGGCTCAAGCAGCCTTCGAAAAACTCAAAACCCTATTTACGTCTGCGCCGATCTTGGTCCACTTCGCTCCAGACCGCCAGACTATCGTGGAAACGGACGCAAGTGATTTTGCTATTGCCGCAATTCTATCCCAGGTTATTGACGGAAAGACTCACCCTGTTGCCTTTTATTCTCGAAAACTTAACCCAGCGGAACTCAATTACGACGTCTGGGGTAAGAAAATGCTAGGAATTGTGTCAGCCTTCAAGCA